CAGGAATGAAATAATAGAAGTAGCAGTTTGTCTTTGCTCCTGCTGACTATGGAGTCCTCTCAGAAAGACATCTCCTCTCCACCCACCTAGCTCAGCAGAATCCTCCATCATCTTGGGAATAGAAATTAGTGAAGGGAGAGGACTTTTTTCTCCCAATCCATACACATAATAAATTACACATTTTATTGTCTTACCAAACTCTGTAGAATGTCCTTTTATTCTATTTTGTAAATGCAGAGGTTTCCCCCCCACCCACCCCTCTTTTTGATTACTTCATTTTCTAGGTTTTTGTGAGGAAATGGCAGGAGAGAGTATTTTCAGCCTCATCTGAACATATTGCCTGGAAATCAAGCCACTGAATTACTTTTTAAAAGTATATTTAGAACTAAGTCAATGAATTTAAAATGCAAGGAAAGGGTTAAATTTCTTCTTCAAGTGTGGGCAAAGTCTGTAGAGAAAAGAGGAACAGCTACTGCTAAAGAAAGTTAACTGGGTATACGGTCATTGCAGAAGAAGACTTGCTTGGGGCTGGAACGGTTGCTCCTCTTCTGCTCTAAGGCAGACCCGCACAGGCACACAGACAAGTGTGCTTGTTTCTGGTTAACCGGCCATCGCAGAAACAGCCAAGATGGATCCTGGATGGTGAGTGACCATTCTTATTCTTTGCAAGGCAAGTAAGAGTTGAGGTCTCAGGAGGAGGCTGAGGTTCAGGAACTTGCCCTGATGCCTTTCCTTCCTGTCTGAGCATGCTAATACATGTTCAAGGCTTATCTAGTCAGAGGTCACAAGTGAGACCTCCTGGCAAGGAGAGGATTCGTGCTGTCAAAGCTTAGGTAATGCTTTGTGCCATTCTTCCTTTTTTGGAGCATCCGATCTAGGTCGATCTTATAATTCCTAGGTGAGGAAGAGTTCTCTCCCCACAAAAGATCTTTGTCACCTGAAGTGAGAATTATTTGAGGTGCCTAAAGCAGTTTACTGGTGACTGTTCTTCATTCAAGTGATTCATTTTGATTTTGTAAAAATTTTTAAGAATATTTCATGTTACAATCATAGATTTTAAGTTTAGGGATAGGAAAATTTTAAATGTCTGTGTAAGTATGACAAATAATAGAGAGTAAGTTTTTTGTATATCAGGGTCAATTGGGTTGGAGGGCATGGGAATGAGATGTAGAGAGGGTAAGAGAGAGGCCAAGGAAAAGGAAGAGAAAGAAGAGTTTAAGGAGAAAATACAAAACAGATCATGAGTCACAGGCAGGCTGTGGGAAATTCTGGGCAGGGTGCGGTAGCGGAAAGAGGTAAAGTAACTCACTTGGCTGCTATGGCCTGGACGCGCACGGGGTGCTGTGCAGATTGTACATTATGTCACTGAATTCTAATCTTCACAATGACTCTCAGATATCATCATTCTATTTTACAGATGGGGTAACTGTGGCTTTAAGAGGCTAAATAACTCGCTCAAGTTCACACTGCTCATAAGGGGAAGAGCTAAAATCTTTCTTGCCCACTGTGCTGTGCATACAAGTTTTCTGCACACCACGGCAGGCCTCCATGAAGGGCCTTCCTGGAAGGAAGGATTTTCACCCTTCTCTTGAATGCTGGCAGCAGAGGTCAGCCATTACTGTTATTACTGTTCTTCGAAAATCTACGCAACTCTCATCCACCTAGTACTTATGGATTTGGGAGAGCTTGGCTGCTTTTGTTTTCAAGGATTAGAGCTTAATTTCCAAGAAAAGATTCCTTTTTCCCCCAGTGGAATTTTGAAATGCTATACATATGTGAGAAAAAGAATTTCCAAATTGATCATTTTTGTAACTGTGAAGGAGAAACTTAATTATGCCAGCACTGTCTGCAAAAGACTATAGACTTAAAGACCATTTATTGTCTATATTGTTAAGATTCTTTCTGCTTCAGGACCAGCATATGGCATAACGGTTTTGTTGCTGGATTCTCATGTGGTTGACTTGGCAGCTTAAGACTGACACCGGGCATACATACATTTGTGAAGTGTTATTGACATGGATATTCTTCTTGCCTTTGTTTCTAGTGATAATTTAAATGTGTAAAATTAGGTAATTGGATAATTATGGAAAGTCCATAATAGAATACCATGCAATCATTAAAAATCCTATTGTAGAAAAGTTCGTCATGCATTTTAGCTTAAGGAAAAAAGCAGAATATACAGTGCTACCACTTTTACACATCATTCATGTATGTATACAATGTTAATCAGAAATATTGGTGGTTTTAATTTTTATTTTCTGCTGTGTGTTTTTGGATTTGATTCACATATGCAGGCAGAAAAATAAAATCAGATATGGAAGGGGGAAAAAATAGGTGGCTTTTCTCAGAAAAGTGGGCAATTATCTAGTGGTATGTGATTACTGGGATTCTGCTATTAGAGCTTCAACCCTTTGTGTTGTTCGTCTCTTGACTCCTTTTTCAAAAATACACTTGTCCCACCTATAACTCATTGGATCATGATAGGACTGTGTTTGCAGCGGATTAGGAGCTGGAGTACTCATTTCCTTTTTTTAGAGATGTGACTGCACAGCTCTAGAGCAAGTTGTATGTGAACAGAAAGGACAGTGTAGTGGTTAAGTGACCACATTTTGAAACAAGACTGCTAAGGTTTGAGTACCAGCTTCCCCACTCCTAGCTCTGTGACCTTATATAAGTTGCTAAGCCATGATAATTCTCAGTTTCTTGTCTGTAAAATGGGGAGTATAGTGATATTTCATAAGATGGTTGTGAGTATTCTGTTGTTGTTGTTGTTGGCTATAGGGCCATGCACCTTCATGCACAAGAGAGTGAGAGAGAGAGTGAGAAATCACCACCCCCAGAAGAATGGCCATGTGCAATCACTTGTCCATTCTCCCCTTGGGATTTTGGTCACCCACGCACACACACCCAGCATATTTTTCAAGCTACCAGTCTGCACCTCAAGTCGTGCAGTTGGCCACGTGTGACCTGGCCACCTTAACCACCACATCATTGGCTGGCCCATGGTTGTGAGATTTTACTGAGATAATCTATATAAAGAACTTTGTTATAGTAATTATAATTCAGTTTTTTTAATTATAAATCGAAAGAGTATAATTACTATTCAGTAATTATTTTAGTTGTTTTTATTACTATTAAGAATAAGAAACAGAGGGGAAACAACTCATCCAAGATTACACAGCTATTTAGGGGCATTACTAGGACTGGATTGAGGAGAGTTTTCCCCAGAAGTGTTCAGTACCCTCTGAACCTGGAAGAACAATGCCAGGCTGTACTCCCAGGGGTGCTAACCTGAAGTGGACAGTGCCGAGTGACAACGCCAGCCTCCAGGGAGTGACTCTGAGCACAGTGGAAAGTCAAATGCTGGAAAAAAGTGTAAGGCTAGAGAAGCTGAGAGCCCAGGTAGGTGCAGGGATAAAGTCTGGACTGAAAGGCTAATGGAAGACAAATGGGATGACTCAGTGATCTTGCTGGGGCTTTTACAGGTCATGAACTGTGGGCTTCACAGGTCAATGTGGTTTAAAAACTCAAGGTCTGGTGATTCAATAGACAAATGGGGTCTAGGTGAATGAGGAAATTGCAAGTATAGCTGGGACTAGATGCCTAATAGTTAGTACTAATAGAGGATAAAGTGAATAATATTGTTACAGGTAGTAATAATACAGGGTGAAGCTGGACAAGGCCAGAACAAGGAGTCCAGAACACAGCATCCAGTCGTATTTATCCTAAAGGCACAGCCTATATCTGAAGAATCACAAACAAGCAAAGACATGATATAATTGACTTTTAAAAGTTCCTCTGGGGCCAGCAAGTGGTATGATGGTTAAGGCAGCTGGATCCCACATGGCCAACTGTGTGGTTTGAGTCCTGAACCCAAAGACTTGAGAAACACGCCAGACATGTGTGCTTGTGTGCCCAAGACGTGCTCATTTTCTAATGTGTTGAATTTGAGATGCCTGTGGAGAAACCAGAAGGAGAGGTCCAAGCAGACAAGCAGATATTCAGGGACAAAGCATAGAAGGAGGTATGGACTGCTATGAACATTGAGTGTTCAACAGAAGTATGGTTACTACAAAGATGTTGAAATGTTCATGGGAAAATGGAATGAAAGTGCAGGCGTATTTTGGTGCAAAAAGCTTTCAAATCCAGGGGACCAGCAGTTAGCGTAATGGCTATGTTGCTGGACTCCCATGTAGTCGACCGCGGTTCGCATCCCGGACCTGGTGGCTTAAATCTCACGCTGGGCGTGTGTGCATGCGTGCCCAAGATCCTGAGAGGAGAATGGAGGAGAAGGGATTGCGGCGTGAGCATCCCCCCTGGGAGGTGATTTCTCGCTTTCTGTCTCTCTGTCTCTCTCTGTCTGTCTGGCGAGCGCACGCGCCCTATAGCAAAAACCTCTCCAAAAAAAAAAAAAAAAGCTTTCAAATCCATGCATATTTTTGTCATAATACATATCTTCTATGAACTTTTTGAAGATCTCATCACTGAAATTCTCATTGTGGGTAAGTTTCCTAGGGACATGGGAGGGTGGATTGAGAAGAAGCCGAGGATAGAATCTGGAAAGCCTTGAAATTTAAGGAGGAATTTGAGGAAGAAGTGTCTATATAGACATGGAGGAAGGTCTAGAGGGATTGGAACAAACTGGGAGAAAAGTGGTATCAAAGAATTCAAGAGCAGAGAGAGCTGTGGAGGAACAAGGAGGATGTGTCTGTGGAAAGACAAAGCTTCCATAGCAATCTCTACCTTGAGCACGTGAGATTCCCCATGAAAGGTGGCTCTAATGACTAAGTGTTATGGTTCGACTTATGCCCCCCTACAAAATCTGTGTCTTGTACTAATCCCCAGTACCTCAGAGTGTGATCATATTTGGAGGAAAGATCTTTACAGAGATCATGACGTTAAAATGAGGTTGTTAGGGTGGATCCTAATCCAAGACCACTGGCATGTTTATAAGAGGAAGATATCTGGGCAGATAAACACGCAGAGAGGGAAGACAAGGTAGAGAGACATAGGGAGAGGAAGGCTGGAAGGCCATCTACAAGCCAAAGAGTACAGCCTGGAACAGGTCCTGCCCTCACAGCCCTGGGAAGGAGCCAACATTGCTGACACCTTTACTTTGGACCTCTGGACTCCAGAAAAAGTATGTTTCTTTGGCCAAAGTCACCCAGTTGGTGGTACTTCGTTTCACCAGCCCTCCAAATTAATATATTTGGCAAGTGTGCTCAGTGGCTCAGTGAGAGTGCGTATGGCCAGAGAAAGAAACTGAACAAGCATATCAGAGAGATGGGAGGGAAACCACGAAAGGATTAGGTCACCTATGCTAATAGGAGAGGAGTATTTCACAAAGCCGAGGGTAGTCACAGTGTCAAATTCTGCAGAAAGGTGAAGTAGGAGAATGACTGAAAATGTCAGTCCGGAGGCCCGCAGTGACCTTTGTAGAGCACAACCAGCTGAGAGATGGATGAAGACTTTGGAGAGCTGAGAACATGGAGGCAGCACAGAGAGAGTACTCCGGCAAAATGTTGGTGATTCCACGGGACATCTGACCAGAGCACACTTACCTCTGCTATTCACAAAGAGCTACACGGAAGCAACGTAGACTCAAGTCAGCGAACCTGGAGTCTTCCCTCCTTTTGGTCAAT